GCCGCTGCGCGCCCCTCCCGGGCCTCTCCCCCCGAGCCGCCCCACGCCAGGGCTGTCTCCTCGATCCGCTAGGAAGAAAGAGAAGGTGTCACCTTCACTCGCCTCTTCTGATTTTTTTTTTTATTCCTCTTGGCCCATGGTTTTCCCACCTTTGAAGCATGTCTTTTCATTTTGTGCTAAGAAATTTATATAACTGGTCAAAATTAACTAATAAAAATATAAATTCCATATAGAAATGGGTCTTAGAATCTGTATTCTGATTTTTTTTATTCCTTTTGGCCCATGGTTTTCCCACCTTTGAAGCATTTATTGTTATTGTGAATATAGAATATATGTGCCCTCAAATAATGATCCATTATTGCAATATAAGCAAAAATTGTATGCCATAAAATTGAGTCTACATGAAGGCAGTAAGTTAAGATTTGAAGTATATACAGTACTTTATTAAAAATTCTGGTCTTTTAATATTATAAAAGAGAAAAATTGCCCTAATGGGCTAGATAATTCAAATAATAATTTGACACTATGATTTTTAAGTGATTCAAGCTAAAGTCTATTCAACATAATTTTTTTTAGGAGAAATATAATTACTATAAGGGCAATCTCCTGGAAATCGTTACCATTTGGTTTAATCTTAAATATTCCTGGAAGCAGAAATTTGTGCAGCAACCTACAGTTTTGAAATCAATCCTGTACAATCGGCCAACTGCAATGCCTATGGAAATCACTGGCTGGTGTGGTGCTTGGTAGTGTCAGGATTTAGAAAATTTTGACTGAATTGTCAAAAGAAAAATAATGCAGAAATCCTAGTAATGTGGCTTAAAAACAAATATTCTTCATCACCTGGGTTCTCTTTAACATTATGAAAATAAATAACATTTGAGAAACCCAATTAATGAGATGATATATCAATTGTCAACTCCTCAAAATGGGGATCTATGGCCTCAGCATTTCTGAATAGTTGATGTTTAATGCTTATTTACTGGATACTGGTGAATGAATGTAAAAGAAAAAGGCCAGAAGAAGGCAGAACGTACTTTTTCTTTTATCATAATTCGTGACGTTATACCCAAAGTATTCTTGAAACTAAAAGCCTCATAATCCTGGCTTCCACTCAGTTAATAGATATTTCCCCCTTAGGAATATGTTTCTCTTATAGCTTTGTGCTTTACTTAAATGCCAGTAAATTATAGCTTTTGTGGATACTGTCAACAATCTTTTCAAGTTTAACTCGGCTAATTTAACTTTCCAAGAAGTAGAAAATAATGTTATGAATCCAGAAGACATCATCAATTTATAACCCTGTGTGTAGGTGCTGTGAATTCTATGTGAAAATGTAAAAAGAGGTGATCAAGCAAAACTGTTTTCAGTCTCACCTGTTTTTACTTAGGATCACCTGTCAAAAGTAGATGTAGAGAAAGGGGTGCAATTTCTTCCCTAGACTGATTTATAATATATTAATAAAAAATGGTCACTTAAATCACTGTCATAAATTATTAGAGACTTTGAACATTAGTGACTTTCATCTAGAAAATGACCCATTACTATAACTTTGAAAATTCTACCTAAATGGATCAGTTGAAATAACATGATTTTTGTTCTCACTCATATGTGGGAGCTAAATATTAAAAACAATTGATCTCATGGAGACAGAGAGTAGAATGATGGTTGCCAGAGGCTGGGAAGGGTAATGAGGAGAGGAAGATAAAGTACGGATGGCTAATGGGTGTGAAAATGTAGTTAGATAGAATGACCACTATTTGATAAAACAACAAGGTGATGATAATCAACAATAAGTTAGGGTATACTTTAAAATAACTAAGAGTGGAATTGGAACATTTCCAACACAAAGAAATGATAAATGCCTGAGGTGATGGATACTCCAATTACCCTGATTTGATTAATTCACATTGTGTGCCTGTATCAAACATCACATGTATCCTATAAAGATATGCAACTATTATGTGCTCATCATAATTAAAAAAGAAATGATCTTGACACTTCCTTCATTTCTAAATTTATAAAGATAAGCCAGGAAATCGTCCCCTCAGAGTACACCCTGTGCACGTTTAAAGAAAACTTACAATTCTAAGTAGAAAGTAAGAAAAATGCAGAAAATCTCCATATATTCTGTATAAAGTTTATAGCCTTAGTATTTGGGATTCATTAAAGATTTAAAGGATTATCCAGCACTTTCTATTTTGACCTATTATGCGGAATTTCTGTTTTGGTGTCTCTGGCTTGCTAATATCATCTATAATGCAAGAATTTCTTATTTTTCTCGCTGTTTTTCTGAAATCAGCCATAAAATTGAATTTTTCAGGTTGCTGAATATTTTATTAAATCCGTAACAGTCAGTAATTCTACTTATGGCTAATGCTGCATTTCACTCAACTTATGGGTAATTTATAAATACTGATGCATGATGCATGACATTTCAAAGTAGCAGGCCATTTTACGCATCTGGTAAGTTATATCTTACAGGAGACTCATGCATATGGAAAGAAACTTTTTATTTATCAGTTTAACTAAATTAATATGTCACATTCCTTCCTTTCACAGGCTGCCAAAATGGCAAATTACGCCAAGTTTCAGAAAATGTGTGATCTCCTGTTTGTTATGTTTGCCATGGTTTTTATCACCACAAGACTGGGTATTTTTCCTCTCTGGTGAGTATGCCAATCTTCTTTCTGACGGAGCCGCCTTTCCAGGTTAGCTTTATGAACCGTCCTCCTTTTGAATTTTACTCTAAACACTTAGTAAAAGGTTTAAAGATAGTTGGGGAGAGACTCAAGAAACAGGCTGATTTCTTCTTCCAGAGGAGGGTTGCACTCTTTACTAATATTTTCCCCAGGGTTATTAGAGAAGGATGTGATTTACATATGTCCTGAAGCTGCAGAAAGCCATCTGTCATCTTAGACACTAGGCTAGAATATGACTCAAGAACCTCAGCCATGAGGATTTGAATTAAAGGAAACATGATGTTGTAACCAGGTGTGTGTCAGGGATCACAGAAGGATGTTCCTGGGCCGGCAGCAGCATCACCTGGGAGCTTGTTAGAAATGCAAATTATTGGGCCCCACCCAAGACCTGCTGAGTCAGAAACTTTGGAGATGAGGCCTGGCCATCTCTGTTTCGATGTCTTCCTGATGATTCTACTACATGTTAAAGTTTGAAAATGACTGTCCTAAGTAATTCTCCCCATCAGCTATATGTACAGCTAATGCAGATGGAAGATATGACTCAAAAATAACCCCTGAAGTTCTTTATGGCTCCTGAATGAATGTCGGGATGTCTTTTCTTTTTGTTGAGAGCTAAGAAAAAGATAAGACAGAGTTGAATGGAATTTGACAGTCCTTTCTACAGAAAATAAGTGCACTGTCATTAATCTTTTTCTGGAAAGCTATTACTTGAACTAAGGAAAAAAAAAATGAACTCTCCATATCACTTAAAGTCTACCATTGATGGTAGATTTTTTTTTTTCTTCCATTTTGGAAGATGGATTTGAATGGAAAATTCAAGCAATGGAAATTGGAGAAAGTAGAGAAGCAAAGGGAAGTAATACTTTGACTTTCCACCCGAGTAGAAAAACAATAATAAAGTTGGAGTTTTTAAGTGAATAATGTCTGTTACTGGGATTCCAGTAACAAATTACACACCCACACCCACACACACACACACACACACACACACACACACACCCCTTCTCCTTGAGACTCACAGCCCTTCTAGATACGTACTATGAAAATCATTTCCAAGCAGCAGCACTATGTGTTGGCATTTATAAAACCTCATTATAGTTTAATACGGTTTTAGGTAGTGAATATGGCTGTAGGTAGGGAACATTGAAGTAATTTTGAATATGTGTCTGTAATTTTTTCAGGGCTGGAGCTCTTTGAACATTATTAGCAGAGCTAGTGGTTAGAATTTAAATAGAAGAAATTCAAGCAAAATCCAGGAAATTTTTCTCAAAAGAGTAAAGCTTTTCAATGTAGGATTTCTGAGAACCTGAGTTTTAAAGAAATCTTTGGTTTGATTACTTCACTTTAAGGGTAGAAAAACTTCAGATGTAACTCTTCTTCTTCCTTCTGGTTAATGTATAAAAGCTCTTGAGATTTAGACAGCAATGAGTTACCTAGAACATAGACCTTAGAATACAGAAATTTGTCCTGCTACCAATAAAATAACTTATAGGTATGGTCTGTGGCAATGACCTATCCTGGCTGCTTAGAAAAAAATCCTTGTAAGCAAGTAATTTACCTATTCCGGTCTTTTCATATAAATGGTTTCATACAATATGTGATCTTTTGTGACTGGGTTCTTTCAATTAGCCTGATGTTTTCAAGGTTTGTCCGGGTTGCAACATATGTTAGTACTTCATTTCTTCTTATTGCTGAATATTGTTCTATTGTAGGTACGCCACATTTTATTTATCCATTCATCAGGTGATAGACTTTTGGGTTGTTTCCACTGTCTACCTATTGTGAATAATGCTGCAATTAACACTGTGTACAGGTTTTTGTGTGAGCACTTGTTTTTAGTTCCTTGGGTGTATACCTAGGAATAGAATTGCTGGATTACATGATAACTCTATGTTTAACTTTTTGAAGAACATCAAACTTTTATGTTCCTACCAGCAATGTGTGAGGGTTCTACTTTCTCCACATCCTTGCCAACACTTGTTATTATCTGTCATTTTTATTATATTTATTTTAGTGGGTTTAAAATGGTAGCTTGTGATTTTGATTTGCATTTCAAATTCTTTACCCATTTTTAATTAGGTTACTTGTCTTTTTTGTGTTGTGTTTGTTATATCATACATCTGATAATAAGTCCTTTATCTGATGTATAATTTGCAAATATTTTATCCCCTCCTGAAGGTTGTCTTTTCACTTCCTTGATGGTGTCCTTTGAAGCACAAAAGTTTTTAATTTTGATAAAGTCTAATTTGTCTACTTTTTTCTTTTGTCACTTGTATTTTTGGTGTCACATATAAGAAACTGTTGTCAAATCCAAGGTCATGAAAATTCACACCTATGATTTTTCCTATGTGTTTTCTAGTTTTAACTCTTATATTTAGATCTATGCTGTGTTTTGTATATGGTGGGAGGTAGGGATCTGATTTCATTCTTCCACGTGTGGATATTCAGTCATTCCCCCACCATTTCTTGATTGGCTATTGCTTTTATTGTGATCATCTTCATCACTTAACTCCGATGAAGCAAACTCTTTTTTGTCACATTTCTCATCTACTGCACTTTTACTGGCTTTGATCCATTTCTCGCTCTTGGAATCACATCCTATTTTATCTAGGGCCTACATCCTAGATTGAGTGATTCATCCTGCCTGGGAACTCGTTATCCTGTCTAATAAGCCAGGAGGTAGTTACAGCTCTTTCTCCTTCTCTCCAAGCTGGGATGCTGTCCAGGAAAATAGTGATCCTTTCTGTCCACAGGACATCTGGGGTACAACACACACAGGTCACCAAAACTGATCTCTCCACGTTATTCCTTTCTGAAGGTGTCACTGTACTGGCTTCCCTGTGTAGACCCCCCGGCCAGTGCCTGGCCTTGCTCTTCCCAGGACATGACTTAACCCAGACAGTGCAACTTTTGTATCCACTGTGTGCTGCCCTTGGCCTTGCTAAACCGCCTGTCTGTTTTGCAAGGAGGGTAATTAAAGTAGCAACTGCTCCTCTTGGCCATAACGATAGCCTTTCCTATTAATACTTCCTCCAAATACATGCTTATTTATTTCATACGGTGTTATGTATGGTCAGGACCAAATTTTAGCTAAGTCTATATTTATTATATACTTTGACAGAATTTGGGTTACAGTCAGTGATCAAAAGCTCCAGTGTTATTGGATATATGTTGTACTACTGTTACCAAACAAGTAATCACTGGTGCCTCACATACGTGTAATCTGGCCATCATTTGAAAAAAGTGTTTTCTCTTGCATTTACATTTTTTTTTGAGACGGAGTCTCACTTTGTTGCCCTGGCTAGAGTGAGTGCCGTGGCGTCAGCCTAGCTCACAGCAACCTCAAACTCCTGGGCTCAAGCAATCCTACTGCCTCAGCCTCCCAAGTGGCTGGGACTACAGGCATGCACCACCATGCCTGGCTAATTTTTTCGATATTTTTAGCTGTCCAATTAATTTCTTTCTATTTTTGGTAGAGACGGGGTCTCGCTCTTTGCCCAGGCTGGTCTCGAACTCCTGAGCTCAAACAATTCACCTGCCTCGGCCTCCCAAAGTGCTAAGATTACAGGTGTGAGCCACCGCGCCCGGCCTTGCATTTACATTTTTATAAAATTGTGTCTAGTTAAATTCCCTCAACTCAAAAATCTATGTATTTTAGCCTTCATTTTACAGTCAATGAATTTGGTCCGTTTTGAGAGTAAGCCTACCCACCATTGTAAGCTGTTACCATTTCTATTGGTCTACATCTCTTTCTTATACTCCACTTGTGTAATCACTGAAATTCCTAACAGTTTCCCAGAGTTTATGAAGCAGTGGTTTGAATTTGTCGTAGAGCAGATTGTGTTCAATCTATTGTCCATCACAATGCCTTACTTAAATAGCTACTCAATAAATATTTGTTGAGTGAATTAAGTACTTTTAAATTTTAAATGGTCTCATGTCTGTTTTCTTAGTCGATCTCCCTAAAGCTTTGTGAAGTTAGATAGGTGCAATTTCTCCCTTATCACACAGAGAAAACCAATTCATTTAGTCAATGATTCACCAGACTCTCTGGACTCTGGTCTCCTAACAGCAGTTGAATTCAACAAGTACTTAGTATGTTCTACTTGTTCTCTCTACAGTATAATACTGTCTTCTTTAAGTCCATAAAGTAATTGATGAGATACATTTTTGATAGTTGTTAAATAAAAGAATCATTTAAAAATGATTTCCCCTGTCATTCTGCCCCAGCCAGATACCATATTGTAAACATCCTCATCTCTCAGCCATGCATTAGAATCTGGTAAAGAAAAAAACAAATCCACAAAGAACTGAAAGGAGAAATGGCATGTTGCAGTCACTAGAAGGACTGTTTGCCTTGAGTCATAGCTCTCTGCATCACTGTGTCTGAAGACCAGATGTATAACTTCTTTGCCCCTATGTCCTCATCAATAAAATAATAATAAATACTCTACCTACCTTCTCAGAAATGTTAAGGATCAAATGAAATATTGTTTGTAGCAGTGCTTTGTAATCTAAAAATTACTTTATAAATATATTAAGCATTTTTCAAGATACATTGTTACTGTTAAAGATGTAAATTCCCATTTATGACCAAGTGGTCACAAATTTTGATTACATTTTATAACTTCTAATTAGTCTAGATTAAGGAACCATTACTATAGGTACTTTTGAAATAAAATTTTAAAACAGTCTCTCCAATTATGAAACCCAAACTGTCTTGTTTTAGTCACTTCTCTTCTCAGTACTCAGCATGTAATATTGAAAGTGTACGAGCTTGCCTTATTCCTGCAAATCCCAAGTGACCGTACCTACCTTGAGCCACCCAAAAGCAACTATTACTATTCGCAGAATCCCTCAAAATTACATGTCAGGCTATTCTCTCTTTATAAGACAGTTTCTCAAAGTCATTATCCAGGCAAGAATGGGCATGCCGCAATTGCCAGAACCTCTTCCTGTGGCGCAAG